ACACAAACACTAAAGAAAACTGATAAGCAAAAAAAAGGTTTTATTTTATTTTTTTATTTGTATTTTCTATTGTTCAAATACATTTCTCTGCATTTTCCCGCCACCACTTCCTCTGCCCCACCCACCCCCACCTCCCACCCTCAGTCCTTCCCCGCTCTGTGGCTTTGTCCATGGGTCCTTTATACATGTTCCTGGATTTTTAAATTTAAAAAAAAAAGAGGTTTTAAGTAAATACACGGTTTTGTGTTGGGCCACAATCATAGCCATCCTGGGCCGCACGTGGCCTGCAGGCCGCTGGTTAGACACCCCTTAAGGTTTAAGGTGTTCTGGCTATAGCTGCAGTGATCTAAAGTAAGACTTCAAAATGTGTGGTGCAAGCTTAAGCATTAGTGATTTTGTGAGCAGTAACGGAATAAAGAACTTGAACTCAGCACCTCCCGCATGTGGAAGGCGGCGGGGAGAGAGCCGGGGGCTGAAACCGCACATCTGTGCATCGTGCGGTGGAAATCCGGCAGCGGGAGTCAGCACTGGAAGTGACCCGACACGTTCACGCACAAACCTTAAAGGCTACAATACGTGTATTTCAAAGGCAGCTTTTACCCAAGGTGTGTGTTTGCCCATGCCCATTTCCATCAGAAGAAATTATCAATAACTCCTGACTCAACACCATCACGTGCGTGACGGCTTAAAGGCCCCAGGCCAGGGATGCCCCGTGACGGTGCCGCGGCGCCTCATTCCTCACTGTGTTACTCTGCGGTTAAATCAGTTTTGTCCTCTCCCAGTTCCACGGTGCGCGTGTCTTCCTGGCTGTGAAACTAGTGCGCTAATATTAGAGTGGTAATCAGCATGGCCCCTAAATATTCAGAGCAATACATGGCTCCCTCGCGCCCCGTGAATGCCAGTGCCTCAGGCTCAGGCATTTATTTAGTGCCGGAGAGGGATCGAGTTATTTCAGAGTCCCTTGAATGCAATATGTTCATGTTGTTCTGCTTGAAAAATTAGATCCCCGTGAGCTTCCAGAATTGAGGGTTAAGACGAATGACTTTGGCTCAGAACCGACCGTTGTGACCTAGACGTCGTGATGGCGGTGAACTTGGCTGTCGACCCCAGATTTTAATTCCCTCCCTGCTGCTGACTCACTGCCACCTTCGTTCAACCTCACGGCCAGGCTCAGATTTTCCTAAGTCATTGAAAACTGGCTCTTCTTTTGGGACATAGAAACAGGAAGAAGATGATGCTGTGAATCGTATCATTCACCGGAGAAAAGCAAGTCGTATTCACCCCCGCATCGTGGAAAGCTTCATTTATTGACTGGAGATATGCTGCCCCCATCATGGGTGAAATAATTTAAATTCAAGTTGGGGTGCGCTCTCGGCGGCACGAATTAAAGAAGGGCGGCCAACATGGATAATCCTAAGGAAAAAAAAAACCTAACAAATCAAGCAATCATTTTTGAAACAGCTGTTTCTACCTCCAGTTGAGTGGCGTGAGCTGGCCCAGGGACACAGGGGCGACCTCAGAGAGCACAGGGCGACTGAGGATGCGGGACCAGGCGGGGGACCCCGGGCGGGGCCTTGCCTCGCAGGCCTGCCTGGCCAGAGCCCCCGGGAGCCTGCCCGGACTCACCTCTGGGAGGCACCGGCAGGCGAGGGAGAGGGGCCGCCCCAGAAGACAAACCTTGATTTCGGACTCCTAGCTTCCGGGACTGCATGGAAGTAAATTCCTGTTGGTTAAGCCCCTCTGTCCGTGGCATTTTGTTCCGGCTGGCCAGGCCGGCTGAGCCCGGGGCTTCTAAGATCCTGGTTATACTGTGACTGTCCAGATGGGTGGTTTTATTGATGATTATTTTATTGCTGTTTTTAAAATTGTACTTACACATTGTATGTACTCTTTGAATGTATTTTCCCCAGTTAGAAAAATAGAATTATGACTGCCCAAACATTTCCAGTTTATTGATTAGCATTCAATTGATTTATTCAGCAAATGCAGTTCTTCAAGTGTTCAGGAAAAGGCATGGTTCCATTAGGGTAATCAATATATGATTCTGAAGAAAAGGATTCCTATTTTGAAGCAGTGGTTCATTATCTGCAACGTATGAAAATCAAAAGCAAGTGGAATGAATGCATGCTTTTAAACTGAGAAAGCTAATGCAGTTAGTGCTTTTGAGGTAAACTAGCCCTCTGCTCTCCCTTCTCCATTGATTTCTTTTGAACCATTCAGATCTCAACTAAAATATGCAGAGAAAGATCTCTGCCTCCCTGAGGGAAAATGTATTTGTTTGAAGATGTTGACATTGGAATGTTAGAACAGCTCCCAGCTCCTATAGGGACTTCATGCAGAATTAGTACAAATGTTCGTGTTTAAACCACTCAAGTCTTCAGGAGAATAGAGGGTTACTGCAAATATTTTTATTCACAAACACAATTATCAGGAATTCTCTTCTAAATAGAGATGTGTGTCAATATCTTAGACAAACACAATTTATAATTAAGTTATTTACACAGCAGCAGGAAGGAAAAATATAAATATGCATATATACACTAGGTACATCTTCACAGAAAAATGACAGATATTTTTGTTCTAGTATTTCATTGTAACCATAATTAACATCTTGTTTTTCTAAGATATAATTAATGAGTACAAATTGCAAGCCCTGGAGAAAACATTCTATGTGTTTGTAATTAAATCCAAGTGTCAGAAAATAAGAGGCCAATTTAGGTAAAAGTCCCTGCAACAGACTGAAAAGCAAATACATGTCCTAGAAACACCTTTGCACACGATATTTAAATCAAAAGAAGTGCTATGTTTAATGTTTCATAGGGTAGGAGTAGTAATATTAATTTTAAATGTTCAACAAACCCTCAAAAATGCATACAATTCTTATAAGCAACAGATGCCAAAATATATCAGTCAGGAAGTGTGGTTTTCACCAGATCACAAATTTGCTAGAATAAACCCGTAAAAAACAAGATCTGTTTAAACTAAGAAAATATACACAAGCGTCACATGGACATGGGATTTCACCAGTTTAACTCTCAAGCTTAACTAATTACTTAAAAAGAATCACCCATCTCGCTCTTTCTCACACACACACACACACACACACACTCTCTCTCTCTCTCTCTCTCTCTCTCTCTCTCTCTCTCTCTCTCTCTCTCTGAATTTGCACCTAATTTTATCCCCCAAAGGCACCGGTGTCTGAGACAGCCTGTCACTCCGGCGGCAGCCAGAGGGGCCGGCGTTAGGTCTTCACTGCGGGCGCGGGGACGTCCGATGAGGAGGCCAGTGTGTGCAGACGTCCGGGGAGGCTGGAACCGTTCTCTGTCTGCAGCGTAGCCGCCTGTTGCTGCTCCTGAGCCCTGAAATGTGTCTGGTGCGACGAGTGAACCGATTTTACAATTTTACTTTAACTAATTTAAATGTAAATAGCTCTAATGTGGCTACCACATTAAACGTAGGAAGCTACACAAAGATGTCACAAACTGCCGAAAAATAAAGTGAATGAGCACTTCGCCCCTGATGACTGATGCCGCCCCGGCGCGTGGCACCAGTTAACTAGGGTTTGAGCATTTTCTCAAAATTCAAGTGACCTTCAGTCGTGGGTTTGCTTACCTTTTCCTTCATTTTAACTGATTATTTTAATGTTGGATATTGGCATTTACAACCTGTTTTCTCTCTTTTTTTCCCATTTTCTCTTAAAACATAGTAGCATAGGGTCAGTTCACTCAGTGTAGCTAAAATGCTACGTTGTAAGAAAAGTCTCTTGAACTCTGGAGTTTAAGAGTGACTTTCAAATGTGGAATATTAGAAAACTGTATAAACGGGTAAGGCAAAGACCCACAAAGCCGACACAGCCGAGGTTAGCGGACCGCGGCCCCGTGGGGGTGGCCAAGGCCGGCGGGGCCGAGACGCCTCTGCGGCCCGCAGCACTGAGGCAGGGCCCACTCAGGAGCCGGCGCTGCGTTCCTGGCGCTGCTCAGGTGAGGATGGGGCTCCCCGAGCGTTGGCGGAGACCCGTGGGGAGCTCGGGGCCCTCCCTCAGGCCGCCCGCGTCCTCCGTGAGCCCGCCCGCCCTTGCCCTTCCCCATCAGCCCGGCCGCCGGGCGTCCCTCCGGCCTCCCCCCCGAACACGGCCTTCACACGCCATCAGAATGAAAACCACAGCACTCGTGTTTAAAAATAAACATTACACAGCTTTGATTCTGTGAGTGAGACATGCCCCATGGATACGTAAAACCCCACTTGAGATCCGCTGGCTTGGATAAGGGGCGGGTAAGCGCCGACATCACGCCCCAGCACCACGGCGGGCGCTCAGAGGGGAAGAGGCGGAGGCCTTGGTGGAAGATGTGGGGTCGGGGAGCGCCGGCTCCCTGCACGCAGGGCGGGCTGATGGCGTTGCGCTTTTAAAGATACCCCTCTGCTGCCGTTGGAGAAGGAAGCGGAAGGGAGCCCAGGCAGATGTGAGGGAGCCAGGTTCGAAGGGGTTTGCGGGAACCTAGGTGAGAGGTGACAGAGGTCCGGCTGGAGTGGGGTGGAGGGTGTCCCTGGGGCAACGGGAGTTGCGTTTTGGGAGACCAAGCAACGGGACCATCTGTTGATTAGATGGAGCTGGCGAGGGCAGAGGAGGCTGCAGGGAGGACCTCACATTTCTGGCCTGAGCAGTCGGGCAAAACAAGGTGCCCTTTGTGGAGAAGGTGAAACTGAGGAAGACACTGATGGAGGGAGGGAGGGAGGGTCAAGAAGGGCCCCGAGGGCAGGTGGGCAAAGGAAGTGAGTGCGAAGGCCGGGAACACGGGCCACGGCTGTGCCTCCGGGAGGGGGGGACGTGTTGTCCAGACTTGTCCTGGTGGCCTGGCCCCCTCTGCTTGGGTTTTCGGAATGGCCCCCAAAAGAGAGTTAACTTCTCTCTCCCTCCATCCGGTGTGCCTGCGGAGCAGATTGAAATATTGGCAAGTCACAGCAAAACGGTTTTCAACGGACTCCTCTTGTTTATCTTTCAGAACCATCCAGAAGTGTTGAATTTTCGACTACAACTGGAACGCAGAGAACTGATCATAAATCTGGAAAGAAACGAGTAAGTTACGTTAGTTCTTGCTTATTGCGTGGCAGGAGAACGTTGAGACGACGCGGCCGAAGGGCACTGTGTGATTTACGCTGGCGTTTAGAGAGCTAGGGCTCAGGGCACGCATCCGTAACCCGGATTTGAACTGGAGGCTGAAGTAACTTCAAACGATGACCCAGTGGAAGAACACAGAATTTTATCGCTCTAAGAAAGAACTTTGTAACAGAGCGGCTTTTTCTCGTGGCTCTGCTTTCCAGAGCCTGGGTTTTGAAGACAAGCATTTAAGCATCACCTGTTCTGTTCAAACAACAGTGTCTGTCACTACTTGAGTTTTGGCAATTCTTGGGTTATAGAAGGAAAACCAGCTTCCAAAGGGTAGAAATCCTTTTTTCCCTGAGAAGCACCAAGAGTTTATTTTATCTTGCCAAGTTTGTCTCCGGTGGCATAAAGTATTTATTTTATCATTTTATTTAAAAATTTGGCCCCCTTTTTTACAAAATGATATACATTTCCAGAAAGTGATATTTTGTGTTTTTCTGGAGCACATGGATGTGGTTACATATTTCGTATGCCTTCCCAGCCGAGTCCTGTCTGCCTCCAGGCGTAAGTAGAAACAACTCATGTTCTGGAACTCCTTCCCACTGCGTGGCTGTCCCCACGGGTTCCTTGGATCTCAGGGACCCTCGCTGTTCCGTCTGATTGGTATCAGGAAAGAGCTGCGCTCCCTGATAAGCAATCTGTACTTACAGCCGTGAGTCGGGCCTGAAGGCCAGGGTCATCCTCTCCTCCAAAGCAACTGGCCCCTACTCCTCGCCCGCCAGGGAGTTGCTCGGGTGTCTATTGTTTGTTTTTTTGTGTTTTGCTGAAATGACAGCTTCACTGGAATGAGTTCTCCCAGAGCTGCCTGGTCACAAAATTCTGCCTTTGTATTTTTTGCGTGTTTGCCCCTCCCTGTCGGGCTTTTGTAAGCAGTGGACAGTGTGTTTTTAGTGCTCCTTGGCCCTCGATGATCTTAAAATAGAGGTTCGGATGCACATCTCGGATAATCAGGGAGCCGAACAGAAGCCTGCGTGTTGCTTTGCGTATGTCTCTTTTGGCACAGTACATATTTGCATGCTGGTTTGTTCACTTACGAATACTGTGGGGCACTTTAATCTTGTGCGCTGCTGTTTGTGTATGGTTTTGAAAATTTCTCAGTGGACAAAACTAGCTGTTCTCTGAAAGATCTAAAGCAGGTAGGGCCCTGGCTGGGGCGCGTGTCCTCGATGGGGCGTCAGGGCGGGCCGCGGACTCGGGAAGTGTGCTTCTTGTTGTCAGGCTGCGGGAGGGACGCGGTAAGCGCGACGGCATGACCGGGACCCATCCTGGGCCCTCAGATCGCGCTACGGCTGCAGGCAGAGGGACAGAGATAGACTTAACGCAACCATAAGCTATTTGCTTTTACTACAAAAGGAATGCATGTCTGGTGCAGTAAGACGAAAAGAACAAGGAGCTAAAAAAACAAACAAACAAACAAACAAAAAAGCCCTCCTACTACGAAACGCAATCTGGCTAATATTTTGGTGGATGTACCTGTAGACTTTTTTGTACGTAAGGTTTGTACCTTGAGTCTTCTTAGTTGATGTCACAGCCTGTGTGTAGGTTGGTATCCTACGTCTTCATTTAGCTTTATAGTAGACACACTTTTTCATATAAAAATGCCCTCCTTGGAGCCCGTCTGGTTCCCCGAGTGTGAAAAGTGGCCGGACGGCCGTGTCCGTGGTCCCTGTGAAAGTGACTTGCCTGGTATGAGGGGGACGGACTAGCACGCGTTGCCTGCTGGCCGGTGGCCAATTTATATATAAAAGAGCATTGGAATTTGCTCACTTCCAATGTGGGGCCTTTCACAAAATACTCTCAAAATTAGAAAAACAGAAAGCACAAAACTCTCTCTTCTTGATTTAGTTCTCTCTTCCCGACCTTAGTGTCCACTTGCATTTCAGAAAATATGTGGCGGGTGTTCAGTGTGCTCCCGTGAGCTTCTGCCGCTTTGCTGTGATTACACTGTAGCGCTCCGATGCTGAAAAAATAACACTGGCAAAATCCGAGCCCGTCAATGTCACCAGTCGAATAATGCATTCCCCAAAACACTTCAGCGGAAGAATTTTTGGGAAAAGGTAACATATATTTTCTATGGACTTAACTTCTGACACAAGGAATACCAAAAAATCAACAGTTTTATGAACAGAATGCAACATTCTTTTGCTACTAGCTCCTAATGCCCTCTGACACAAAAGGTAATCGATGACCTGGTTTAAAAGAGAAGTTTCAATTCGCACTGTCTTTGGCCAAACACATCCCGTTAGAGGATGTATCCAAATGAAGGTCCAAGCACCCAGAGGTAAAGGTAAAGGCAAATGAGAGTCTGTTCAGTCTTCCACAAGCAGCCCAGCCAGGGGCCTGCCCCTCCAAGGTCAGCTGCCGGGCACCCTGGTCGGGGTCTGCAGGCGGGGAAGCAGCCTGTGTGCAAGGATGCGCCATGCAGAATGTTTTACCTAGGAGTACGTCAGCAGGCCCTGATGGGTGTGGCTCAGTGGGCTGGGTGTCGTCCCACAAATGGAAAGGTTGCCGGTTCGATTCCCCGTGAGGGTACATGCCTGGGTTGTGGGCCAGGTCCCCGGCCGGGGCGCAGGCAGGAGGCAACCAAGTGATGTTTCTCTCATACATCGATGTGTCTCTCCCTCTTTATCCCTTCCTCCCCTCTCTCTAAAATTACATAGGTGGAATCTTTAAAAATATATCTATAAAGTAAAAATACATCAATAGGAGACTGATTAAGTCCATTACGAGTCAGCTATGAGAGTATGACACAGCTGTTAAGAGCGATGGCGGAGACCTTTATTATTACAAACAGGCTGCTGCCTAAAAGCTGGCAAGGCCTTTGGTGTCCACCTGCCTCTGAGTAGTGAGATTATGGAAGACCTTTGCTTTTTTGATTGTCCCCTTATTTCTACAACAAGAAAATACTGCTATTCAAATTAGGAAAACTTGCTACATTGAAGGGAAAAAGCCACTGCACAACCTGAGAAGTTGTTGAAAAGAAGCGGACTGAAGTATTTATTCCTCATGGACAGGAAGTGCTGGGCTACGGGGAGGCCTCGAGCACCTGTCGAAGGGCCGAAGAGCTTTGCCCACGGATGGCCGGGCCTTGAAATACCCAGAAATCAGTTTTAATGAAAACCCTGCTTAGAAATCACGCCTGAAATAGAGGTGGCCTCTGTACGTTAAATCTTAAGAGCCGTAACCTAGAGCTCAGTGACCCACTCACAAGCCCTTCCTGCAAACCGGCTTCTCGTGAGGTGGGGCTGAATTCGCATCGCACAGCTGTTTCAGGGAATCTGTTCATCTGTCCTCCAGCACCCCGTGAGCAGAGATCGGACGCTGCTCACTTTAAACCTGTGCTGGCAGAGCTGTAATTGAATGTTTAAAGAAACGCAAGGCTTCCCCGGAGAAGCATTAGTCTGCGTGGAGCTGCAGGGCCGCTTTATGACTTCCATAACTCGCCGGGTCCCCATGGACCCTCAGGCCCGGCCTCCAGCAGGTGCGCCGCGCGGCTGGGCCTTTGATTGCGATGCTTTATGGCGCAGGCCAGCCAGAGTGGACATCGCTTTCTCCAGTTGAGGGTAATTAAAAGTGACGGCAATAGATCGCCCTCCTCCATCCCTCAGCCCACCGAGCATTGCCTTTTCAAGCCCGGCCCCGACGCTGATGGAAGGCCGTTGCTGAGCTAGGACTTTGGCCTTGACTTTTATTCAGTCTGGAAATATTCCAGGCAACTCTTTGGAGGCAACTCCAATTAATTTGCCCTCCAGAACAGTAGCAGGAAGGGCATTTTACATTTCTCACATGCAGCCCTAAATCTGGAGGAAGGCACTTATTTGACCACATCCCTCAGCATCCCGTGACGCTGGTGGGGAAGCGTCGCTGGGGCGCAGGTAGCAATGGGTGCGTAAGTAGCCGGAAGACACTAGACTGTTGTCCACATGGACCCACACTGAGTTGCGCAGCCAGATCAAGACTTAGGGCTGCGCACAGGCTCACCCTGGCCCGCGGGTCTGTCGGTTACCTCCCTGAAGATGAACAGGTGCACCGCTCACGTTTCTGGGCAGCGCAAAGCCGAGGAGGACGCCCGCGCCGTGAACGGCAGGATCTGGGTCGTGGGGATTTCGGGGGTTTGGGTCGTTGGGCCAGCACTAGCAGCATGAGATTCAAGGGGCCGAATGCAAGTCCCGCGCTCGGGCTGACAGGAACGAACTCTGTAGGTCCCGAAGGAAACTTACTAAGTGTGAAGTTACTAAGGAAACTTGCGTGTGAGCCCTGCACGCTCACCCCGAGCCCCCGGGGTGACATGGCTGCTGAAGGGTGGCTGCCACCTGCCTGTGCGCGGGTGCCTGGCGGGCCCAGGCCGAGTCATTCCTCTGGTCAGGCCGCACCCGGGACGCTGGCCCTGTGCTGCCCGCAGCGTGCCATTGGAGAGCCGCCTGCCACTGTCTCCGTTCCCGCTGCCGGGCCCTGCTTGCCACCCTGCCAGCCAGAGGCGCCCGTTACGCCAGACGCAGGGCCCTCGCCTCCTCCTCCAGTGCCCAAGGCCTGGCCGGTAGTGGGCACTCGATGGGCACTTAGCAAGCGAGCGAGGGATGGAAGGTGGACACCCTGGACCACACCGGCAGTGAGTCACCCAGAGGTTAAAGGTCTGTCTTGGGTCGTGTGAGAAAGTATTTAAGGAGAAAGCTTCTGGAAAGGACACGGGGTTTGGGGTCAGGTAACCAGGCTGTGGAACTCAACTTTTCTCCCAGCGCCAAGCTGCTCCTATTCACTTTGCTTCCTCGTCTGCAAAATGGAATAAAGTCTGTGTACAGTCCATGCCGAAAGATTGGAGCTCATGTTATTTTTGATGATCAGGTTTGAACGATCCAGGGACGTATTCCTGTGGCTCTGGCACTGAGTTATTTTGCCTAATTGGCGCCACCATA